ATTGCAGTGTGAACCGCCCTGGGTGGCTTTGGTAGTCAGATGCGGGATATCAAAGCCACCCAGCCAGCCAGCCAGCCAGCCAGCCAACCAGCCAGCCAACCAGCCAGCCAACCAGCCAGCCAACCAGTGCTGAATAGAGGTACTAATGACTATGCTTCTGTTAATGCAACCTAAACTAGCATTTGCCATTTTGCAGCCACACCAGACTTTTGGCTTACATTTAACTTCTGATCTACAATAACCCCAAGATACTTCTTGCATCTAGTATTGCTGAAACAAGTATCCCCCATCTTATAACTGATCTTCATCTGGAGAGCAGACTGAGCAAGCCCACAAGTGGCCACTATCCTTCCTGCTATCACCTGAAGTCCAATGAAGTAACTTCCTGCCTTTTTGTAAGAAAAAAATCCTTCCACTGTTAGATATATTGGAGCAATATGAAACTGCCTTGCTTTCTGGTTTCAGCGAGCAGTTGTCTCATACCTAGAATGAGATTTAGTCCATCAAACTGCCCTAGCTTTAGGCACATTTGGAGAGACACAGAGGCTTGTGAAGAGACAATAGCTCAAAGATTGTGTGCATGGTTTACATACAGAAGGTCCCAGACCAATCTCTGCTGATAACTTTGTGTTTATCACTAATCAGTGCAGTATACAAGTTTAATAAACAATAATTAAAAAAACTTCGTTTGGAAAGATCAGGGACCATGTAACAGGAAACACTTCTGCTTGAGGCAACGAGAGTCATGCTAACCAACACTGAGATAACATTGAGTTAGATGGTCGGAGTTTGACCTTTTGTAAGGCACTTTCTAGTAGTTCAAATCAGCATGTCCTATGATTAAGGGGAACTGAATTTGAAAACATCTGAAAGACCCAAGATTGAGGCCGCTACTCTGGAGGAAATAACATCATTTAAGAGTTAAGCATATGAGTTAAGCACATGTACATGCACATACAAGTCCCAGATTTAATCCTTATTTTCCATTTCTTTTTCTTTCCTTTTTTAAAGCATAAAGTGATGGAACAGGTTTTTCTCTGATGGAGGAAAGTCCTAGAGTATAGGTTCTTAATCTGTGGTCTGTGGTCTCCTGGGGGGGCAAAGGGTCCTCACAGGGGGTCCGTGAAGGTTTGAAGAAATCTTATGATATTTTGCAGTTAAAACAGAAAGAATGAATGAAAGAAAGAAAGTTCTAAACATAGAACAATTAAGGTTTCCTTCTAAACACAGAACAAAACGTTAATTCCCCCTGCTTGTCTGTGTAAAACTTGGCTTTTCTTAACCTACTGCTTCCATTAAAAACAAACGAAAGTAGAAGTTGGTTATGAAAATAACTGTTTCATAGCAAATAACTGATATTTCTTGCAAGTGAGAACATGATGCTGAGTGGCTGAGAGACATCACGTGACATTTCTTGCTAGTGTGCAAACAATCAGAAACTGCGAGAAGAGAGCGTTGGAGTCAGTGTCAGTGTCAGTGTGAGTGAGTGTCTGGACAGACTTTATGATTGTGTTTGATTTCTGCTAATAAAACCATTTAGTTATTGTTGGGTAAACTGACTTTTTGATATTATTGAAGTCAATTTCATAACAATACATTTTGGCTGAGCCTCAGAATGGATCGCTGCCTGAATTTGAAATGTAAAAGAACTGATGC